AGCAGGTGTGGATTTGCAATTTCTTCCTAAAGCTGGAGCAGAGAAAAAAAAAACATCAGCTTCTGTGTCCATCGGTAGTCGGGATGATCCAACCTTTAATGTCGAGGACCGTCACTGCTGATGAAGGGTAGGTCTGCAGCTACCACCAGGAGAAGAAATGGTAGTTTTCACGTTGGAAGAGCTGCACTTCAAAGTCCCAGATAAATCAGGTCAGAAACACTGGGCGCATCCTTGTTGTTTTCTTCTGAGGAATTTGTTCTCTAGAGCAGCAGTCCCCAACCACCGGGAGGCGGATCGGTACCGGGCCGCACCCGAAAGAATAAAAACGTTTTATTTATTATGTTATTTCCGGCAGAGTCTGCAGGGTGTTTTATTTTGACAAATGACTAGATCGTCTGTCATCACGTCCCTCTATGCTTGTTTCCCGCACTTTATTCTTTCATTTTTCATGCCGGCCGTTAAATGGAGCCGTCAATCTGCCAAAATAAATAATAAAACAAACCTCTCTGGAGAGCTTCCTTGAACAAAGGGAGAGAGTCCATGTTGAGACAGGAGAAAAAGTAAATACATATTTAGCAATATAAAGTAATTAGGAGACTTTTTTAGCAGAAAAAACAATTCTTATTTGTTATGTGCACCACGACTGGTTTCCTTGCTTGAAACCAGTCCATGGTGCAAAAAAGGTTGGAGGTAGACAGTAAAGGCCGAGTTCTGCTGTAACATCCTGAGGTGTCTGTAATTCCCTCCTCTTCCCGACAATAAATATACAAGTTGAGCTTTAGGAGTTTAGCTTGTGCTTGATGAACAGGAAGTGTTGCAGAAGCACCAGGAGCGCTGTATGACTGCATAAGGAAACTACCTCAGTAAGGATGGTGGTCAAATTTCAATCAGGTTTATGATTTTTATAAGCACAGCCTCAGAACTTTTTGATCACCCCTTTTATCTTGATTGTGATATCTTGATTTAATTTTGGAGAAAGCAGAGGAGATAATAAACCTCTAACAAGGTCCCACGGCAGGAATCAACCTGGCAAAGTTGCGCGGTATGTGGCAAACAGATCAGACTGCATTCTTAACAATGCCTCATGCTCACAGACATGTTTGATTTTGAGCTGATTAGAGGGTCGCTGGGTTGCAAACGGCTGTCAATCACTTGTTTCTGCTCAAGCTTGGTATGGAAATGCGGCTTTGTTGTCGCATATAAAGGAAGCACTGTATATGATCACTGCAGAGTTGCGCTGTAGCTTCTGTTCCACTTTTAATGACATAATTAAAATATTTTTTTTATGAGCTTGTTCTGAGTTTTAAGGCAAGGTTGCATTAATTGTATTAAAAACGAGAAACAAAACGAGTCAAAAACAAGACTGAAAATAGCCGTAAAGTTGTGCATCGAGTCGATCATTAGGTTTATTGTTTGTGACAGTAATAATCGTACTTTCTTCTTGTACGTGGCATCAAAGTGCGTCATCACTACACACATCACAGTGGTATAGTAACAACTAGTTCCTACATGTAACATCCCAAAATAGCACCGGAAAAGCTACGACAGTCGCTCACAGTCCCAACTGCGACGTGACTCAATGGAAAATCCTGTCAGATGTCGCTCAACAGCAGGCTCACTTTACAGCTCTGATTGGAAACACAGCTATAATATGAATGTGCAGAATCTGACAGAGCTCCTTCCCAACATGCCTGACTGTAGGATGTAAATGAAGACTCGGTTCGAAGCTGTGTGCAATTTCAGCTCATTATTTCATTTTTATGGTCATAAAACGGAAATCGGATAATTAGAAACGCAAAAACGCAGAACAGAGCAGATATTAGTAATTGGTGCAGGTGAGACTCGAAACAAAACGTGTCACAGAAACAACAGTGGGGTTGATTGTTCTCTGTTTTCTCTGTTAATTACACTGTTTGTGCATCTTGAACTGTGGTGTCGGATTACTGGCAGCACAGTGACTCGCAGGGTTTTCCAGAAGTTTTCTGTCTTGTAGAGGTGAAGAGGTTCAGAACCTCATTGTACCCCTTTAATGGGCAACGTATTGAATGAGAAAAGACAACAGAAACAGTTTAATGTTCGGATGTGGTGTGGAAACAGTTTGCTTGGAAGTTTTCGAAAACGTTTTTCATGGTGGGTACATGCCTGGCTTTGTGTTTATAATGTGAACAGGTAAATTAATTGATAAACCCACCAATCTGTGCTACAACTACCCTCAGTAACATAGAATAACAAACTGAAAAGGTGTTTTCAGATGTCCCCCCCACCAACTAAAATCTTATTTATGTCCTTTTAAATGTTCACATCCTTAATTTGGCACCTTGCCTTAAAGCTTGCACACTTGGATTAGGACAATTTATCCCTGCAAATACTTTCAAACTCCATTAGATTAGACAGGAAGTGTCTGCAGTGTTCTCTTTACTGTATGCCTCATGTCATTGTGGTGCTGAAAGGTGATCATCAGCACAGTCTCACATCGTTGCACCTTCTAACCAGCTTTCCTGCCCCTGCTACTGAGAAGCATTCCACATAGCATGATGCTGCCGCCGCCATGCCTCGCTGTCAGGATGGTATGAGCCAGATGATGAGCGTTGTCTTGTGTTCACCGGACATATTGCTTAGAGTTTCGCCTAAATACTGCAATTTTTGACTTATACCAGATGATGTTTGTCCTCATACTCTCTCATATAGTGAAGTTAGACTAACTTCAAGCAGACTCAGAGTGACTTTTAACTAGTTGCTCTGTCAAATAGGCCTGATTGATGATGTGCTACTGCGATGATTCACTTTCTCGCTGCTTCTTCCATCTCTGCCGGGAACCTCTGAAGGTCTTTTCAAGTAACTGTTGTCACTCCACTGTGATGAAGGCATTTTATTGTCCTCTTGCTCAGTTCGATGGTCTGTGATTTTCCAGTTTCATAGTAGAGGTCTAGAGAGGTATTCTGGACTTCTTGGCTCAGTTCTTTTCCTGACATGTCGTGTGAATTGTTGGACATTATCTACACAAGTGTCTCACTTTCTCAACTGTGCTTAGTCAGTTGAGTTTGACACTCTAATTAGCTATAGACACAGTTGAATGATTTTTAAAGCAAACACTTGACCAGGACCTGAATAATTTCATAAATAAAAGATTTCAGTTTTTGATTTCTAATAAATGCGTTGCGAAGAAAAATCTTTTTATCATGGGTTTCAGAGAGCAGACTGAGGGAAATGCTGTTTTATAAAATATAGTTATATGTGCAACAGCATGTGAGAGTAAAATGATTGTACGATACAATAACGAAGGCATTTAGGACGACGTCATACTTCTGAGCATCTTCAGCTCCATGTGTTTCATTTTTCAAAGCACAAGATTTCAGTTGTGGAAAAAGCATCTGTGTCTTCCCACAGATTTGTTGCATTACCTTTGTGTGTGTGTGTGTGTGTTTTCTGACCCACTCACGTCTGTGAATGTGTGTCTGACGGTAATATGGAGGGCAGCAGCAGGTCGGCACCGTGAGGGGAAGCAGATTAAATGTGTATTCGGCTCTCACCGTCGCTCCCTTTTCCTTTCCTGTTGCATTTCCTCTGTCACTCGTCCGCTCTCCAGACTTAATTTCTTTGGTTCTGCTGTCTTTTTTGTTCCTCTCTGCAATCTCAATATTGTCTCTTTCCTGTCTCCTCCTCTGCCTTTGTTCCCTTGTACTTTTCCTCTCCTCTCCATTATCTCTCACTTCATCGTTTTTCTTCTTGCCAGCAGTAACTTTTCACTTGATGCTCCTCTCCTGTCATCTATCTCGCGGCTCTGTCCCCTTCTAATCACACCGTCTCCCTCCATGCCTCCCTCCATCTCCTCTCTTATCACACTGACACTTAGATTATACTACTTGTGTGTGACTCCCCTTTGCTCCTCGTCATCATATCTAATCTTCCATGACACACTTCCTGCTAGTGGGTGGGGGAAAAATATGCAGGTTCTTAAACATTTTCACTCCGGGAACCAAAACGAAGCATCTCACGATTTTTTTTCTTTTTTTTCCCTGGAATCCATAAAATTCATCCCTTATACAGGAAACATCTTGAGATATTCTGTTTGAAAGGCAGGTGGTGTAAGAAAGGGAAAATATCAGAAAAGATGAAGGGAGATAGAGAAGAGATGAGTGCAAAGGGTTGACATTTGAGCCTTGAAATGTTGTGGCACATTTAGATATTCTTATTGCACTTATTCCATCTGACTTTTGCCTCGCAGAATACTTCTGTCGAGCGACGTTTTTAGAAGTAGGTTCTTGTTTTGTTCGCACAAAGACACAATAAAGATTCCTGCTGCTGATGGCAATTTGGTGATGCAGAAGGAAGCATAGCAACAGATGTAAACAATTCATGATTTTAAACCTCCTGCAGTCTGTGTTTTTTTGGAGGGTTTTGCAATTAATTAAGTATATGATGAAGCCTACAAGTGGCAGTTAAATCTGTGTATTTTAAAGAGTTTTAAGTCTTCATTCATATACCGGCATCAGTCAGCGATGATTGTTTCGTCAGACCTGGAGAGATGCAGAAACGAGGCAACCAGGAGCATGGTGGAGCTCTTTAGGAAAAAAAAAAAAACCTAGAAAGTGTCCAAGAAAAGTTTCTGCTGCTCCAGATAAAACAGTAACTCAGTGTTCAGCGAAGGGATTACAGTCTAAAAAAAAAAAAATAAAGCGATTACCAGCGAGGCATGCCTCAAATTTACTGCCAGAGGTGAGAGACAAAGGTTTTTGCTCGGAGGTCTTGGAATTCCAAAACAATGGCTTTGCGGATGTTTTTTGAAGACGGATATGCGTTCAACGTGATGCGCAAGGATGGGGAGAGAACTGTTGTTTGTTTACAAGCAAATCCTACCGTACCTAAAGGGAACGCATAACTTGCATTCTGTGTGCGCCAAGTTAAAAGTCTTGAAGAGATCCAGTCGTTTCCACATCTCCAAATATGTGCTTTTTTGGTAATAACCAACAAATAGTCACAGCAAGAAGCGACAGATCCTCTTAGCGACAGATATTTTTATTTGTTGCAGTCGGGAAAGTGCAGGTGTAGTAATGACGGCCACATTCCACTTAAAGGAGGTCCTGCTGTTGTGCGTGCTGGTCTGTTGTCATGGCTTACTGGGACTCTGAATGGAGTTGGAGACTCTT